GATGCACACTAAGCCAGGGAGACCAACGACTTTTACATGCCCTCCGAAGCACGGGGACGACTCTTTATCATTTTTATGAAATGATATGCGTGGTGGAAAAGAATCTACTTCTAAGATGGATTATTACAAAGGATGCGTTGACAAATATAAACGTTTTATACTAAAACGTTTATTATAACAATATTACCTGGTTACAATAAACTTCTTGTTGACTCGTTTACACACTTGTCATGCGCTGGTAGTATCAACCCTTAACACTAGAAAGATCCAATGTATTATTGTAAATGTTGGCTGCTGAGCTACGGCCGCTCCAGGAGTAAAAAAAATACCTAATAAACTGCTAAAATGTAGAGGTGTGTAAGACTATTGAATATAGCCATACAGTCGAGGATGGAGATCGATAGTAGACTATACAATAATAAATATTGAAAACGCTCTGAATAGTGTCACGCTCTTGTATATTAACACTCCACTAGTATGCAGGATTCATAGTCAGGATTCCTAATTGTACTGGGCGAAACATTGGAGAGCGAGAGATGACTGAGATAAGACTGGCCGAGAGATTAGTTTCAATCGGTCAGTGGCAGTAAGAGTGGGAGGCAACAAGTGATGTGGTGGAGTGGACGAAGTCACTAATCCCGAACCTTCGAAGCTGGGTGAACTGTGGGCGTAGGCAGCTGGATTACTACTGAGCAAATGCTGCACAGGTCATGGCTGCTTCCACAGCTACCTTTTCAGGTTTAGGAGGGGTCAGTCCAATCAGTACCTGTACTGAGGTCTCTCGGATACTGTGACACGTAAGCGTTGAGCGAATGAAAGAGAGAAGTTTGAAAGAGAGTGTAACTGCAGAATATTTGATTCTGTGAGAGAAATGGTGGAGAAAATGATGAGGGATGAGTTGTGGTGGACACGGATCCACAAATTTATCAGGGAGCTGCTCTCTTCAAAAGAACGAGAGGAGAACAGAATTTTAAAACGAGCGAGTAGCACCTCGGGTTCGGATTGTCGCAGGTCTCGGGCCGAAATAGAAGCAAATAAGAGAGACGACGCGAGAAAGATGACAGCCTCGCTAAGGCAGGGGATTGAAAGTCTGGTGGTTCGTGTGAGTTTGGTTTTCCCGATGAATGTGTGGGAGAAAGAATGGGAATTGGATGATAGCAGAGCATCAGGAGAGATGTTTTGTCTTAACCAGCCCTTCCATTCTGATGTCTAGAGTGACAGAGGAGAGGCTTTTAGTTGGACGCTGACCGTTCACAGGTGATGGGACACAGTGTCAAAAGTCTAACTTCCTGGGGATCTCGTCCTGACACAGCTTCGTTAGGGTATTAGGAACCCAACACTACCTGGGTGAGTCACAGTTAACGGAGTGAAGTTACGGATCAGATGATACAATTTCTGTTGATCATTCCATAAATTCTGAAATACAAGGTAAGAAGAAGAAGATACCAATACATCCATTTACTAAACTCTTCAATTTATTTTTGTTTAACTATAATTGTTAACTATTCTTCTTGATTTGTCATCACTTGCATTTTGACTTAATTAATATTTCCTTTCTTTCTCTCTTTAGATAAAATATGTTCCTCGTTGATAAAATACTTAATGGTTTTGTTAATTCCTGTGAACTCTTTTGCAGCCAACAACAACAACAACAAAGTTCATTTATAAACATTTTTACGTAACATCAACACAGATACCGAAGAATCATTATGCTGTTGTATGTAGATAACCAAAAGATAACCACATACCGTAATTACTCATTCTCACCGCTGAATATAAAAAGAAATTTGTTGTTATCCAACCGCTATCACTAAATTTAAATTATGTGCAACCGGAGAAGCAGAGGAACCACTTTTACTTATCATTTCGTAAAAAATAATGTTCGTCTGCGGACAAGACGTATGTCTACAATTATAATAGTAAATATTACGGCTACGTGCAAATTTTTTACAGGAATGCTCACTAAAAACTAATTAAAATTAGTATCTCCAAATAAAAGCTGATAGTGGCGACCATGGTTTTTAATTTCCATACCAAAAATTTACAATTCTGAATTTATTCTACCGGAAGGATGAGGATTATGAGGATTGGAAGAGATTAGCCATACAAACATTAGTAAATATTAGATTAGCCATGTTGTTTTTTTTTCATTTTTATTCTCCTGTGCTAAACTTTCTGCTTAATACTAATTTACTCATTATTTTCAAGATATTTTTTATTCTATCGATCCCAGTTCATGTAGTTTATTAGTCTCGCTCTCTCTCTCTCTTTTTCTTTGAGTATGAATCTGCTTTTTAAATTTGGCACCACTCAGCGCTGGAAATTTTGTTTTTAATTATGTATATGTTTCGGGTGAGTCCTTAACAGATAAGCTCAACATTTCGGCGAACATCTAAATATAAACGATATTGAAGGAAGTTACAACATAGACAATCAACAAAATCTACAACGTCAATTCAAAGATAATAAAGCCCCCCCCCCCCCCCAAAAAAAAAGATAACTCATAAATGATGCTATATTTTCCAGTTTACTGCAATCATAAAAACGCATTTCGAATTGTCCCAAAATATTTGATAATTCAGCCTCATACGTATCATAATTCAACTGAGGAATCCTTGCTTTCAAAGACAGAAAATGTTTCAGATCCTTTCTTTTCAGTTGATCTATCATAAATTGCAATTTACTTTTGAATGCATTTACTGCGCTAATCATCTCAATAATAGTTTTTCCTTTACCTTGAAGCTCCAAGTTAACGGTGTTTAAGTGCATTGTGATGTCAGTCAAAAATGCCAAATCATTTAGCCATTTTTTCGTTTTTCAAAATCTGAGTGTCATCACCTCTTTCGTCTAGAAAAGCTGTTATTTCGGGCAATAATTCTTGAAAGCTTTCTAGGAATTTTCCGCGACTTAACGACCTGACGTCCGTGTGAAGAACTAAATCAGTGTGTTCAGCTGACTCCCTATCTTCCAACTGCAACTGAAAGAGCCGCCGTTGCAAGCTACGTGCACGGATGGAATTCACAATTTTTGTTGCAATGCCCATAATTTCCTCCGTGTTTAAAACTTTTGAATACAAAACTTGTTGATGTATAATGCAATGGAATGACAAAAATGAAGGGAATTCTTCATTAACTCGACACAATGCCACAAAACCGTTTTTGTTTCCAGTTATTGCTAGTGCTCCATCGGTTGTAATGCACAATAATTTATATATTGGTAGCTCGTAGTTTTTTACAAAATTTAAGAAAACGTCATATATATCTTCGCCACGGGTCTTCCCCTTCAGAGGAATGATTGTCAAAAATTCTTCCTTAGCCAACATGTCATTGGATACCATCCGAATAAAAATACACAGCTGGGCAGTGTCTGTCATATCGATGGATTCGTCAAACTGTAAAGAAAAATATGTACATTCCATGATATCATGTTTTAGTTTATCTGCGATGTCTTGACTCATGACTTCAATACGCTTTGTGACAGTCGTACGAGATAACTGAAGTTCTCTAATAGCAGACATGATTTCTGTTTTATTTTTAAAATCTCCAAATAAAGTCTCACCCGCTTCAATAAATGCTTCCTTCACCACCGATCCATCTTCAAATGGTTTCTTGTGTTTCGCCAAAATATAAGATATTTTAAATGACGCGATCGTAGCAGCTTTTGATTGTTTGGCTGTTCTTGTGAACATGGATTGTTCTTTTTTCAAACAAGATATCAAATCACTTACTTTTCGTTTTCTTAATTCACTCTGTGGCGGAAAATCCTTTTCATAGTTTTTATGAACCGTTTTATGATGCCTCTCTAAGTTACCACGCTTAGGTATTGCAACTGACGCACGACAAATAACACAAATGCACTTATCCTTCACCATAGAAAAGAAAAATTCTTCCTCCCAATCCTTATTAAAATGATACGTTTTAGATTTCTTCACTGCACTCATTTTCCACTATTTAATAATAAACTTTGTATCGACGTAGGATCGCTATCAAGTTACAATTCAGAATAACTCCAATTCCTGCAGGCGCAACATTTATATCGGCGTGAACGAAAGTCTCGAATGTGCCCGTCAAACGCGCCGCCCGAAACTAGACTGTACTGTCTCTCGTCTAGAAACAACACGGCTTTTCTTTGACAAGTGCCGCGCGTTCCTTTGATAAAGCCACCTTTTGCCGCAAGCAGTGTTATTTTATTACGTAATACATTTTTGTAGTTGATAGAATATCATCCCAAATTTGATTAATAATTATAATAAATATTGAATTAATAAAATAATTAGTTAATATATGTAAATATAAAATATGCTGTGTGGACAGTATTTTGTTGTCCCCACTTCTTTGAATTGCAGTGATGCTTAGTCAAGCATTCTATGTATTTGTATAGTTCAGTATTAATAAAAACGTTTAACTCTGCTGACAGTAGTTTAGTTACCTACCTACTTATTAAAATTTTTTTCTTCTCGAGATCTTCCCAAAAAGCACTCGCGATCGACCGTTTGAGCTCCCCTGCATTAGAGCAACAAGTTTACTTGAGCATAGAAACAAAGTTATTCTTTAGCGTTTATATACAAGTCGCAGCCGAGGGCATTTTGGCACTTAGCGTTGTGTCAGTATCACCATAATCCATAAGCTATTCACGTTGAAATTTTTAATGTAAAACGACATTTTATTTTAAGTTAATTTATTGAGTTTCTTCATTGTTTAATTATGAATGATTTTTTATAGCAATAGTATCAATCTAATTATATTATATCCACCATGTATAGATATAAATTACGTATTCATGCAAGCATTGCCTTCCACTGTAGATAAGAAACAAGCAGTTCGCGCATCAGTGGCTTTTTGATTCCACCACAGTACTATTCCATCTATTGACCATTAAATATTAGTGATGCGGTCCGTGCTGTTATCAGAAAAACATTTCGATTCCCGTGATTTGTTTTAAATTATTATTGTTTTAGTTTTAGTCGGAGTAGAAAGTTAACGATGGCTGTTTTGTTACAGACTTGCCCGCAGTTCGTGAAACTCTCGGACCTGGAATGCCAGAAACCGAAAGTGGATTTAAATTTTACGCCGAGGATGAGCAGGTAAGACAGGCCGGACTTATTGGAATGTTTTGGAGGTATAACGATGGTTACTATATCGCTCGTTAATCTTGTTTTGGTTTTTGGTTTCCGCGGAATTAAAGTTAAATAACAAAAACCATTCTTGAAATATATACACTCAGATACAAAAAAAGAAACGCAACGAAGAAAAATTTTGGTCAAATTCAAAGTATTTCAGTTTTTTTTTATTTTTAACCCTATTTTGATGATTTTTTAGCACACTGTGTAAAAATTTATAAATTTTGATTTAATATAGTGAGTTTTTTAATAAAATTTTGTATTTGACTTAATATACGGGGTTAATCGAAAGGTGGTTTTTTATCCTAACTTTGAAACATCCTGTGGAATAATTCCGTTTGCGAACTTTCGTAAAACATATTTTTCAGTTGCAACCATGTCTCCTTAGCATTGTGTTTTTTGTTTCATATGAAAATATGGATTGGTTCATTTTTAGGAGCGAAATGACTTTGCCACCCACAATTTACGACTTTTCCTATTATTATCACTATCTTTTGTATTAATTTGTTATACGACGATGGGGGCTTTCGTGACTGATATCGAAGGAATGTCATATCGACATCCCAGAAGCACTGTATTTAAATAATGATTAAAACCAACATGATTTTAGTTTTAATGATCAACGATAACAATAACAAAACATAAAAAAAACAACTTAAATGTAACTTAACCTAAGTATGTAAATAACACAGAAAAACTAGTAAAAAATAACTTAATACTTTGTATTGCCTCTCTTAGCTTCTATAACTGGCTGTAAACGTCGGCTTATGCTGTCTATGAGGTTGCGAATATCATCTTGCTGAATGTTTTGCCATTCCTCTTCTAGGGCCAAGCGAAGTTGTCCTCAGGAGGCCTCCTCAAGATGTCTCCACTCTTCTCTGTCCTGTGCAGCTGCGATCCAGTTTGTCACTATTCTTTTAATGTCGTCCGTCCATCTGGTAGGTGGTCTTCCACGATTTCGCTTGTCTGCCCTTGACCGTCATTCTAAAATCTTCTTTGTCCATCTGTTGTCTCTCTGTCTTGCGACGTGTCCTGACCATTTCCACTTCAACTTCGTAATCCGTTTTATGACGTCTTCCACTCCAGTTCTTCGCCGTATCTCATCATTTCGTATTCGGTCTCTCAAAGTTACGCCAAGCATATATCTTTCCATTTTTCGTTGTGCTACTTGTAACTTTTTTATTGATGCTTTAGTCAATGTCAGTGTTCCAGCTCCATAAGTGAGCACCGGAAGTACGCACTGGTTAAATGCTTTTCTCTTTAGCTTTACTGGGATGTTTTCCTTAAACACGTCTTTTAGCCATAGGCTGCCCATCCTAAGCTATTCTTCTAGATAATTCGCATGTTTGGTTGTCTCTACTTATTTGTATTTCGTGGCTCAGATATATGTATTTGTCAACCGTTTCAATATGCCAGTTTTCTAGTTTCAATGGTCCACTAGGTACTAAGTTGGTCATCATTTTAGTTTTCGCAAAGTTTATTTTCAGCCCTACTTTTTGGGAGACTCGTTGTAAATCTTGTAGCATTTCGTTGGCCTCCTTTAGGTCGTCGGTTATTAGAACTATGTCATCTGCAAATCGTAGGTGGTTCAGCCTTTCGCCATCGACACTCAAACCTCTCTTTTCCCATTCTAACATCTGGAATGCGTGCTGCATTACGGCATTGAATAGTTTTGGTGACATGTTTTCTCCTTGTCTAACTCCCCTTTTTAGTTTTATTTTTTGAGTAGGGGTGTGGAGGTTTATTGCTGTTGTGGCATTTGCATATATATGTTGAATAATGCTGGTATATCGGTAGTCGATTCTACAATCTCTCAAAGCTTTTAAGATAGCTACCATCTCGATAGTGTCAAAGGCTTTTTTATAGTCAACAAATACTAGAACTAGTGGCCGGTTGTACTCTATAGTTTTTTCAATTAGGGCCTTTAGACAAGTTAGATGGTCATTTGTACCATACCCAGGGCGGAAACCTGCCTGTTCTCTTGGTTGGCATGTTTCTAGTTTGTTCTCAATTCTGGCAGTGATAATTCGAGCAAATAATTTATACAGGTGACTTAGAAGACTGATTGGCCTATAGTTTTCGAGGTCTGTTTGATCTCACTTTGCACAAAACTCAGAACTTTGCGCTCTACATTAGATTCATTTAGATTAAGAAAAGAATAGGTACATAAGATTTTCTTTTACATAAATTGCAACTCTGCCTTGTTTCTTTTTTAACCTACAAAAGAAAAGTTAATGAAAATGAGGAGATGCTAATTAATTTTAATTTTTTTTCACTTTGTCAGTGCTCCGAAAAGGATTGATCATATCGACTTTATTCAAAATACACTGCAAATTAACATGAAACATTACTGCCTCTTGTCGAATAAGTTTATTTTGATAAAAGTTTGTAGAAGCTTCTAGATTTCTTCCAAGTATATAATAGAATCTAGTAAAGGAAAAAGTCCACTACCCCTTAAAATCCCTATTCATAAGTAAAACAGTTGGTGAGTTAGGTGAAGTTGGAGAAGAGATCAATTAAACCCAAAGTATGCTTAGAGTAGTACAAATGAATGTATTAAGATTAGCAGGCAAAACTAAAAGAGAGGATGTAAGGAACAAAAAAATTAGAGCACAATGTGGGATGTAAAATTGAATACGATCAGGAAGACAAGAACGAACACTGCCGAGAATTCATCATCATCATTCAGCCAATCACGTCCACAGCTGGACATAGGTCTTCCTAAGTCTTTTTCAATGTTCTCTACACTGAACCGCTTGTAGCCTGTTCCCCGCTATTTTTTTCACATCGTCTGTTCACTAAAACTTAGTTGTAGATAATTAGTTAAAGGAATAATTGTCAATCTGCCTACCAACAAATTGAAATATAACAGCAATTAATCGGTGGAGATACTAATAGATAAAAAAATCTTAAACAAGCGAGAACTTGTAGAATAAAACTAAACCCACTTCTAATATAATTTGTTCCCCTTCTTCATTAATTCAATCAAATGTTATTGACTTATTTGAATTTCAAATAAGTTCAATAAACAAAGAAGTGTTTTGGTCTGGGAGTTTAATTCTTGGTACCCAATTTCAGCTCGAATAAATTAAAAGAATACGGCAATAATTACACAGTTAGGTGCCCCCTTCAATATTTATGGGTTCGCATTTATATACAGGTGTTTGTTATTATATATAACCATAAGAATATTTAAATACAATATTTAATCATTGTTATTAGCAAAAGATCTCATATCGTCTCGTATCAAGTAAGGAAAAAAATGTTTGTTAAGTCTTGTAATTATAGTAAAGATTAAATCTTCGAAAAGGCGTGAGACTAATATTATCTCATTTGTAACGGTTTTGAAAACATATTGTAAAAGGATTCTAGAAAAGTAAATTAGGCAAGATGTTTTATAAATGTATTTTGGAATTAGATATATGTACAATGTTCTTTTTCTCTGATGAGTTTTTCTTTATTTATTAATTCTTATTCTTCTTCTTTGAGTGCTTCTCCTATCGGAGATTGGATATCATTAGGGCGATTCTAATTTTATTTACTGCTGTTTTGAATAATTCGTTAGTGGTCCAGCCAAACCACTCTCTAAATTTCTCATCCAGGACATTCTTCTACGGCCTGGATTTCTGCATCCTTGGATTTTTCCCTGCATTATATTTTGTAGGAATGTGTACTTTTATGCACTCTTCAGGTGGCCTAAGTATTCAAGTTTTCTCTTTTTTATATTCAGTATAACCTCTGGATCGTTATTTATTCTGCGTATTACCTCTTCATTTGTAATTTTATCCACCCAACTTATTTTTAGTATACGACGGTAGCATCATCATCAATGGCGCTACAACTCTTCGTGAGTCTTTGACACGTTTACTATTGCCTTTCATGTTTGTCGTCTTGTGCCAGTAATTCCCATTGTCGCACTCCCATCTTCTCTAGATCTTCTCTTACTGCATCTTTCCACCTTTTTCTAGGCCACCCTACAGACCTTCTTCCATCTGGTTTTTCCCAGAACACATTGTTTATAAGGCGATTGTCGTTACTGCGTATCACATGTCCTGCCCATCTGAGTCTATTGGCCTTTATATATCTGACTAGATTTTCTCTTCCGAATAGAGATTCTAGCTCGTTATTGTATCTGCCCCTCCATTCGTTTGTCACGCTGTCTCTGCAAGGGCCATATATCATTCGAAGAATTTTACGTTCCTATACCAGCAATTTATTTACTTCTCTTTTCGTTATCATCCATGTTTCGCTTCCATACGCGACCAACTAAGTCAGTTGGTCTGTCTCGTTTTAACTGACAAGTACCACGTGTTAAAAATCGAGCAGGGAGACATGCAGTCCCTAAAGTAATTAAAATTCTATCCATTGTCATCCAGAGTCACAACATAATCAAAATGTAACATTTGGAATGCTGTAAATCCATACATGGAGGCCTCACAGATAACTTTATTGTTAGCTTCAAGTACACAAGGCACTGAGTATGATCTGCTCAGATCGAAAACGTTATGCTAGAACTTAAATTTTGACGACACTTTTTATAAAGTTTTAACTATTTGTTTTTTTATACCACAATACATGTGTGAAGTGTTTTAACTTCTGTGTTTTTTTAAACGATGGTATACAGCCAACTACGGAGTTTTTCCCATTAATTTTATATATATATATTATATATATATATATATATATATATATATATATATAATATATATATATATATATATATATATAAGCGAGTCTTCTACAGCTGGCGCCGCTTCTCGCATCCTAATTTCCAGCGTTTTCTGTCGAATCAATCTTCAGTTGTTAGATCATCTCTGGCGGTCATTGCATCTTCGACATCGTCTCTCCAGGATCGTCTTGGTCTACCTCGTTTTCTTCTAGTTGGCGGAGTCCATTCTTCTATTTTTTTGGCCATCTATTTTCCGGCATTCTCTGAAGGTGTCCATACCAGTTAAGTTTTTTGGCTTCGATTGTGTCTATTATGTCTAGATCGATTTCCATTTCTCTCCGAATATCTTCGTTTCTCACCCTATCAAGTCTAGTGAGCTGGCAACATCGTCTCCAGTAGTTCATTTCCATGATCTTAATTTTTGATTTGTTTCTTTGGTTTATTTCCCAGAGTTCGGCGCCGTACAGTCCAATACTTTCTATTATTGTTTTATAAATTCTTCTTTTATTTTCTTTTGTTATTTTTTTATCCAAAATAGTCCGTGTAGCTGTCTGGTGGCTGATCTTGCTTGGCCAATCCTGGAATGTATTTCTTCGCTACTTCCTGCTTTTGATGTTATTTGGACTCCCAAGTACTTAAAATTGTCTGTTGGTTTGATAGTTCCCATTTCGATTTGTAGGCTTTCTGGTTTTTCTCCTACAACTAAGTACTCAGTTTTTTGTATATTAATTGTGAGACCCCATTTGGTGTACTCATCTTCCAGTTTTCTAAGCATGTAGCTTATATCACTCTCGTCTTCAGCTAGAATGGCTTGGTCGTCAGCGAAATGTATCGTGTACAATCTATCATCTCCGATTGAGATGCCCATATTGCAGCACTTTCTTCCCCACAGTGAGAGTGCCTCATTTAGATATATTTTGAAGAGTGTAGGTGCTATGCAGCAGCCTTGCTTTAGGCCCTTACTAATAGGAATTTCTCTAGTTAATCTATTTCCAGTTTTAATGTTTGCCGTCATATTTTTGTAGAGCTGTTGTACTGCTTGTATATATTTTTTGCTTATTAAGCTATAAAGACTATATGAGTTGAAAGGTTGTGGGCTAATCTTTTCTCGGTAACTTGCTTTAGAGAGAATATACTGTCCATGCAGGATCTGCCTGCACGAAAGCCATTCTGTTCTTCTACATCTGTCATCTCTTTTTCAATTTTATTTTTTATTATTTTTCCATACAGTCTTGAGAGTGAATTTATGACACTTAACCCCCTATAGTTTGAACAATTCTTTCTATCTCCTTTTTTGTATATGTTGTCAATATGTGCTTTTTGTCCACTCCGGTGGTAAGTCGTGTCCATTATAGAATAAGGTGAATACATACGCCAGTAATTCCCGTAATACTTGTGGGCTATGTTTTAATAATTCATTTGGTATACCTTGTGGTCCGCATGACTTCCCATTTTTTAGTTAGTATTGCATTCTCGACTTCTCGACTTCTTTATTTATTTATATTTATTTATCTCGTAATTTTATTTATTAATCAATAAATAATACACAACGTAAGAATTTTATGGGAAAATTGCAGAATCTAGCACGAATTATCACAGCACGTATACGATGATAATATGAGAATTCAACGCTAAGATCGCACGACTTAAAAAAAATTTATAGGACCATTCGGCTCTGGAGATAGAAATGAGAAAGACCTTGGTTAACTTCCTACAAGCCCACAAATAATATGCAATGAACACATTTCATAAGAAAAAACCTCAAATAAAGTGAAGCGATAAATGCGCGATCTGATGCAACCTTAGCATAGGATTAGCTGCTTGATTAGGAAATTCCAAAAAGTCGCAAATATTTGGCATAAAAAACGGCGAAATCGCAGCTTGAAGACTTTGTCTCTTGCAATCAAGATTGTGATTGGGTAGTCCACATTCAAACATTTGCGTTTTACTATTTCCTAACTCTTTGTCTTCTTCAACCTTTATCCTTCCATCAAGTTTGCTTCCATCGTTATTTCTCCTGCACCAATTTCATCCAGCTCAATATTGCTCTTACGTCGTCTACCCATGTCTTTTCAGATTTGGCTGTGGCCTTTTTTTGCTGCACTGTAAACGGCCAGTGATCTCGGAGACCATTCATTTACTCCCCTTCTGCCAATCCATCTACTCGAAAAATTTCTCGTTTAACCCCTATGGGGACGCGAAAGGAATAGCGAAGTGGTCCTGCTGGAAATATAAAAGAGCCTCCTGTAAATCCAGACTACTTTCTGCATCAATTTGAATTCCAAGCTCGACAATATCAATAGTTTCTTGCACCTTTTATCCTATATTACTATAATACTTCAACAAGTGTACTCGAATCTAATGTTGAAACAAAATTGACTATTGAAACTGACTGCATCTACAAAAACACATACACTGACAACATCTTCAATCTCAAAAGATCCCAACAATATAGATTGACCAGATCTAAGGGTCCGCGTAAAATGACCATAGACAAAAATCTATGGAGATAAGCCATATCACGACTACTCCCTCAGGGGGTAACTACTGAAAGAGAGAATTACTGTGACTGTTAATGGTACAATCATAGACCGAATAAGAGGCTGGATGCGGGAAGAATACAAAGAATACTGTGATAAATCCGTAAAATAGTTTCGAAAACTAAAACTATTTTACGGATTTATTATCAGATGTCGCTATTGCGTCCATATGGAAGCCATTTTAGTGTTGCTTCTTAAAAGACAGAAAATATTGATTTTTCACGTTAAGAACGCCTATAAATAACTGTTCTGATGAGACCTATATTAGGTCGACGTAGACGCTGTTTGCGTGAAATTAAATATTTGCTGTGTTTTTCATTTTAATACTGTGACACTTTGTGAAATGAACAAAAAGCAGCTCAAAATCATAACAGTCACTAACTGTACATAAATCTATGTACATAGATCTCTACAAACTGATGGAGGGTAAAAACATTTTGGAATGGGTATTTAGACGGCTTCCAAAGAATAAAATGACTGTTTTATGAGGAAGAAATTGGCAGTTTGTACAAGATCAATAAGAAATAATTCGCATTACACATCTTTATCTCCCCTATTACTGGGTCAAGGTTACCAAACTTGTAAATCTCCTATTTTAATCTGATCTCATTCTTTGACGTATAATTGATTTATTTCCAATATAGGTTTATGTTTTTGTTTCCATGCATCAGTTTCAATATTATTAATGGCTTGTTTTAGTCCCATTGCAAAATATTTATCTTTACTGCGAAAAAATATAAAGTGCAAGAGTCAGAGAAAAATAATCTGCTATTTACTCAAGCTGAATGCCAGTACAAATATTGAAATTACAAAAAATACCATCATGTGATTTTTAAGAGCAATTAACCGGCAAGGACGTCGGCTGATGCATTTTTAAGTGGGTCCTTACTAATAAAAAAAGTAGTAGGTATTTTTTATTGCAAATTTTAGCTTTTCTCGTATTTTTTACAATAATTACTGAAAATCCTTTTAAAATAAAGAGACCTGGCGGGTCAAACCAAATTCAAGACGAAATCTTCTTCTTCCTTCTTATATGTAGCCTTTAAACCCAGTTTCTTCTTCAATATTAGCCTCCTAAATTGTTTAAATTATCGCTTCTTGATCTGTCAATACTTCTTCATGACAGTCCTTCTGGGGCTCACCTAGGGCATAGGGCTATGCGTATTGTTTCCTAGACTCTGTGGCTGAGTTTCTTTTCAAATGTTCCTCTTGTTTTTATTGTCAAACAAGGTAACATCAAGAGAGCGTAGTTTGTGGTTTTTAAGGGTTTTACACCCCTTATTTTCCACAAAAAGACGACATATAGTAATATAGGTCTAATTGCTGCTTTATAGATTTTTGTTTTTGTGTCTTGTCTTAGATGTTTGTTCTTCCAGATTGTGTCATTAAGAGATTCCGCCGCTTTGCTTGCTTTTAAGCATTGTTGTCGTACTTCTCATTCAACATCTCCGTAACTAGTTATATCTATTCCCAGAAACCTTGCTTATTGCTTTATTATTTTCCCACCAATTTCGATTTTACTTCGTAGTGGGTATTTAGATAATAATGTAAGTACTAATAGATAATAATAGTAAGATAAGTAAGATAAGATAATAATAGTAAGATGGGCAGGTCACGTGGTACGGAGTGATGACGACAGACTGATTAGCAATGTGTTTTGGGAAAGACCAGATGGTAAAAGATCGACAGGAAGGCCTAGAAAAAGGTGGAAAGACGCAGTCAAGGAAGACCTGGAGAAGATGGAAGTAAGGCCATGGGAAATAATAGCACAGGATCGGAATCAATGGAAGGCAATAGTAAACGCGGCAAAAACTCACGAAGAGTTGTAAAAGCCAATGATGATGATTTAGATAATAATAATAATCTTTGGAGCTCGTTTTCTGTCTCGGCGTTTAATGCGGCGTCATCTGCATAACATATTTGGGTTTCTTTGTTCCCCATTCTGTAATCATGACCTTTACGTACTGCTGTATTATTTCGTCCATTATTATATTAAAGAGAAGTGGGCTTAATGAGACACCCTGTTTGACACCGTTTTGTACTGGTATACACTGTGTTAGTTTTCCATTTATCTTTTCCTGTATTCGATTATGGAAGCAGATGGTTTCGATGGTTTGTATAATATTGATTGGTATGTTTCTTTTATACAGTAGGTATAAGACGTCTTCGACTTGGAGTCTTTGTCAGCTCTATAAAACATAGATATGCTGGTTTATTGTAGTCGATGGCCTTTTCTGTGATTTGTCTTAGTACAAATACTAGGATCTTCCGGATCTGAATCCTTATTGTTCATCTTATATAGTTGTTAGTTTATTGATTTTGTTGGTTAGGACTTTTGTGGTAAGCTCAATTGCGGTGTTCAGTAGATTTATACCTCTATAATTGTTAGGGTCTTCTTTATCTCCTTTCTTGAACATTGGTATCAGTATGCTGTTTCTCCATGCATCTGGTATCTTGCAGTGCAATATTAGTTTTTGTATAAGCTTTGTCATCTCTAGGGTTATATTTTCTTCTCCGTGTTTTAGAAGTTCGTTGGTTATTCCGTCTGGTCCTGGTGACTTTCCATTTTTGAATGAATGATTTCGGATATATTACATTCAAGATTCCATTACACTACATAATTATCTCTTACAGATCCATCCCGGAGAGCTCATGGGTGGAAAGCCCCCTTCTAATGTCCCATTCCGTGGGCTATCGCAGCGCGCCTCATCCGTTGGAGCCCGAACACAGCGATAACTCGAGTACCGAAGACATCGTGAAAAAGGAATCGTACTCCCAGCCGAAAAAGAGCGTTCGCAAATTGGGAACTGATCTTCTGCGCATGTTCTTGGAGGAAATCGGACCTGACGTTATCGTAGAAGTGGACGGGCACAAGCTGAAGGCTCACAAGTGTATTTTGGCGTCGAGGTGTCAGTATTTTGCCGCTCTTTTAAGCGGGAATTGGCTGGAGAAGAATGGAAATGTTATTTCTTTGGAGGTAAGTGAATTGTGATATCGAATTACTATCGATAAAAAATTGTATTCATTAAACACACAATCGATATGTTGTCCCATTAATTGGTCTCATTAATGATAATCATAATACCACTACTTGTAATAATTATTTATTTCCCTTGTATTCAAAACTAATTTCTAAAGCTAAAAAAACATTGTTAGAAACTCAGTAACATTTGAGATATCCCTAAAGTTCATTGTAAAACTGTGGCAGGCAATAAAACAAAATCATAAATTGATGTTTACTATCACGTATGCAGACACATCCATTAAAAATTAATTATACAAATTAAATTCCTTGCAAATTATACGATTTTTATCATAAATTTCACTTTACATCTGGCGGAGGCGACCTTGAAATCATATGTTTAGTGTTTTCGTACACTTTTAGTATATTTATGAAGGGTATTTGCTATTTATATATACAGGGTGAGTCATGAGGAACTTTACATACTTCTACCATATGTAGAGTCCCTCAGGGAGCATATCATGTGGCCACTAAAAAATGTCAACTCCTCTTCTTTATTAATTAACAGGGTGATTTGTGTAATTGACCATTTATTTCATTTTACTGTAGTGTTTATACGGCTCATTTGATTTTTTTAATTTTTGCATGATTGCAAAAAAATTGCATTTTGCACAGTACACTACTATCAAGCATTCGACTGATATTAGCTAAACTAAAAAAATTCCAGGACTGGCTTTGGAAAAATTAATTTAGGGATTCGTATTAAATATTACACCCTGTATATATATTTTTTAAAATGCAATAAGTGATTTTCAAACTACATAAATAGCCAATGAAAACGACATATGCGACAACATTGTCGCACTTTTATTAAATTTTTAGTGAACGATCAAATCTTACCAAAAATAGAATAACCATAATGAAGTATCAAATTATAAGGTAATTAATTTAAACAAATGTTATAAATTTCAAACATTTTAATTGAAATGATAAACTGATTCACTGCACAACAAAAAACAGTAACTACTAACAATAACGAAGAACAATAATTTAAAAAAAAACTAAAAATATGTACATAGTTATAATAAACCCATAAATTAGAACTGGAAAAGATACAATAATGGTAACAAAATAAAAATAATTCAAAATAGATTTTCGAAATGGAACCCTGCAGCCTGTACACATTTTTGTTGCCGAATTGTTAATTGACGTATTGAATTACGGATACTCTGGGGATCGTTTCTAATAGTATTACAACAATGTATAATTCTATCAATTAATTGTTGTCGGTTATTAATATTCACTGCGTAAACTAGTTGCTTCAATCGTCCCCAAATATGGTAATCAACGGGATTGAAATCAGGGGATCTTGAAGACCACGAAATAGGACCTGCATGTCCTATTCACCTGTTGCCATAAACATTATTGAGATGTTGTCTCACTGCCAGTAAAAAGTGTGGGGGTGCCCCATCATGCTGAGCCCCATCATGCTGAAAATGCATCCCTCGGATTGCAACGTTCGCGTTGGCAAGCAAATTCGGCAAAATATTTTGTAGAAAGTTCAAATAGACCTGCCCTGTTAAAGGACCATCAAAAAAGTGAGGACCTACTAATTGGTTATTTATGACACCAATCCACACGTTAACCAAAAACCTTAACTGAGAACGACGTTCTCGAATACCATGGGGATTTTCTTCTACCCACACATGTGAATTTCGTGAATTATTTATCCCGTCTCTGGTAAATTTGGCTTCATTTGTAAATAGTGTCCTGTATAACGTTGGTCTATTATTGTTAATCCATCTACAAAATTCCAACCTATCGATCTCATCTCCAGCATGTAGTCGCTGAACCATTTGAATGTGATATGGGTATAGATTATTTTTTTGTAAGACTCTACTTACTTTTGATTGAGTAACATTGAGTTCTCGACTTACTTGTCTAGTGCTTATTGTAGGGTTCATAGTAACGGCGTCCATAATGTCATCTTCCTGCGCTTCATTTACATGTCGCTCTGTTGTTTCACTAGGAAAAGTGCCATTTTCTCGCAAATAAATAAAAACTGACCCAAATGTTGGATGACTGGGAGTTCGATGATTAGGAAATCTCCTGCGATATTCTCTACTAGCAGCCCTACAATTCCCATTACAGAATCCATAAACAAATATTATGTCTGCATATTCTGTGGTCGAAAACTGATGTGGCATTTTGAACGAAAGTAACAAAAGCTCTACCAAAACTAACACAATGTATTTAACATAGATATGACAGAAGAAATATGTATTCTTGTACACATAAATAACAATTGATAATGACAATAATGACAATGGGTATAAAATATCAAGAAACGTCAAACGGTCAACGCCAACCTTCATTTTAAACTTTTTTAGATTTATTTTTATTTAGTACAGTTGATGCAATGTATTATTATTTGACATAAAATTTTAATCATTTACAATCAACAAAAACTAACACATACAAGAGGTTTGACTTTTTAATCAATTTAATTTATTATTTATCGAAAATAATGCCCCAATACGATCTATGAGTAAAAATTTAAAATTGAAAAACAATTGATTCTATCGTAGAGATAATACAAAGTGACAGTAAAGATGTTAATTTTCTACGTATTAGATTATGTTGTAGGAACTCATTTTAATTAAAATGTTTGAAATTTATAACATTTGTTTAAATTAATACCTTATAATTTGATACTTCATTATGGTTGTTCTATTTTTGGTAAGATTTGATCGTTCACTAAAAATTTAATAAAAGTGCGACAACATTGTCACATATGTCGTTTTCATTGGCTATTTATGTAGTTTGAAAATCACGTATTGCATTTAAAAAAATATATATACAGGGTGTAATATTTAATACGAATCCCTAAATGAATTTTTTCAAAGCCAGTCCTGGAATTTTTTAGTTTAGGTAATACCAGTCGAATGCTTGATAGTAGTGTACTGTATCATGCAAAAATTAAAAAAAATCAAATGAGCCGTATAAACACTACAGTAAGATGAAATAAATGGTCAATTACACAAATCACCCTGTTAATTGATAAAGAAGAGGAGTTGACATGTTTTAGTGGCCACATGATATGCTCCCTGAGAGACTCTACGGTAGAAGTATGTAAAGTTCCTCATGACTCACCCTGTATATATATATATATATATATTATATATATATATATATATATATATATATATATATTATATATATATATATATATATAGAAAAGAAATTTAATCTTTGCAGATAGGTTAAATAGTAAACTCTTAAATATTGGGGAAATCTGCAAGAAAGACTCTAATGAGTATCAATTGTTTCGCCGAACCTTTTCGCCAAAGAGAATTAATTTGGCTTCTTCAGGGCTGAAAGAGAATAAATTATAATCAGCTGCCATATATTATGTATTAAAAAACATTCTGTTTTATCAGAACGCATGTGCTGACAATTCTTTTGTCAATCAGGTAGTACTTTTAAATCTTTATGTCGTTAAGGTTCATTGGTTAAACCGAATGAAGTTAAATCCATAAACTGGGATGCCGACAATTCAAAGAATTACTTCCTTTTAATGTAGTTACATTAGGTTTTTCGATTAACCTTGGGTAAACCTTTGCGTTTTAAGTTCAAAGCTACCATACATTTCCAATTCGATCTTTTTATACTCTTTTTGTGAGATTTCTTGAGTTGTATTTCTTTGTGAATCAGCTGCACGCCACAGTGGTCCTTAAAGTCAACATAACTTATGCCATCGGTCAAATTCAGCCTGATTTATGCTCCAAAGTGATGACAAGTTGAATATCTTTTAACAGAAAATTTATTTTCTGAAAAATACTTTATAAAACCAGTATCTTCACTACTGATAATTGCGAAATTATTTTACATTATAATATTACTATTTATTGCGTTAACTCATACCGATACACGTTTAACATTCGAAATTGATTTATGATTAATTTTCTAAGGTCATTCAATACAGACACTTGTTTTTGTTTTTTTTATACTATATTGACAAAAAGATGTAATACAACTATTAATTATATTCTAATTAAATGAGGGTATTACTCAATTATCAACTATTGACGATTTCTTTTAATATGAATGACACATATATTATGAGTGGTTGTCAACAGTTGAATAACCGATATCAGGATATTAGATCTTTTATATTAGATTTATAGATCAATCTATAATGGGAATTATCTACAATTTCAATTGAAAATCGTTTAATTTGAAGAAATCGTTCTGAAAATATAAATTAAAATTATCATATAATCAATATTAATTTGAAATTTTCATAACAGATCTGAATTATAAAATTATATAAATTTAGATACAGTGGTACCTCCACATACGAGTGTAATTCGTTCCGTAATCATGCTCGTATGTCAAATTGCTCGTATGTCAAAGCAATTTTCCCCATTGAAATTACCTGAAATGTCATTAATCTTCGCTTTTTTTCGTCACACTTGGCTCATTTTCATCTGCAGAGCGTTTAAAAAAATTGTCCAAGGAGGTTTGTTTCTTTCTCCCATGGCTGTTTGTATGTTTTCTAGGTAAGTTTCGTTAAACAACACTGATGCACGACCATGCTGCAACTTTCTTTCATATTTCGAGGATCTCCTTTATATCTCTTGTAGAGACAACGTCTTTCAATTCTGGCTCCTCTTTAAAACTAATTTTTCGTTGAACCACCGTATTCTGTTGCGAATGTAGTTCGTCTAACTCCTCGGTTGTCAGCTCCTGAGACTGTTCCTCGACAAATTCGTTTACATCTATTTCATCCACCTCCAGACCCATGGATTTTCCTAGATAAACAATCTCATCTACCACTGACACTTCGGGTTCTAGTCCTCTGCAGGGCCTTTCATCTAAAGCCTCAGGCCACAGCTTTTTCCATGCAGAGGTTAAGGTCCTTGTTGTAACACCTAGCCAGGCCTGCTCAATAATTATTAGGCTTATTACTATGTTAAAGTAGCTCTTCCAGAACTCTCGAAGGGTAAGGTTTG